CCACCAAGTGGTTCTCCTTCTCCTTCTCCTTCTCCTTCTCCTTCTCCTTCTCCTTCTCCTTCTCCTTCTCCTTCTCCTTCTCCTTCTCCTTCTCCTTCTCCTTCTCCTCCTTCTCCTTCTTCTTCTCCTTCTTCTCCTTCTCCTTCTTCAAATATATATTTTATTGATTTTTTTACAGAGAGAAAGGGGGAGAGATACCGTATTTTCTGGCATATAAAACAACTTTTGAAAACGGAAAAAAGCCTGCTCAGATTGGCCAGAGTCAGAGAGGCAGTCTATAAAATAAGAACTGGTGTTGCCTCGGAAGTGGGGGGGTAGTCTTATACAGCGAATATAGGCCTAAACCTATGTTTTAATGTTAAAATTAGGGGGGTCGTCTTATATGCCAGAAAATACGGTAGTTAGAAACATTGATCAGCTGCCTCCTGCACACCCCTCACTAGGAATGTGCCCGCAACCAACGTACATGCCCTTGACTGGAATCGAACCTGGGACCCCTCAGTCCGCAGGCCAACGCTCTATCCACTGAGTCAAACTGGTTTTGGCAACAGGCGGTTCTTGAATAAAGACGACTGTGGCTTTGGCTGAGACCTGCGCTGGCGAGGACGTAGCTGGGACTTGGAGATCATCAGAGTTGCCAAGGGGCCCCCGAGATTTTCTAACTCTGCTCTCATGATTCATGTAGAGACCGAAGGCCAGCATGAGGGTGCCTCCCGGGCCGCAGAGCTGGTGAATGGCCCACCAGGGCCCACGTACAGGCATGTGGCCTTCATGTCAGGGCCCGGCGGGGGCCACAGGGGGTGTGGGTGGGAAGGCAGAGGCCAGAATAGCCCCGGGCCCTCATGTCAGGGGGAGGGTTAAGATGGGCCCCGCACATCTTTTTCTTCCCCCTGAGACTTCCCCCTGCATGTCCAGGTGGGACGTGAACATGGAGCTCACCCGCCCGGAGAGCCACAGGGGGACAGAAGTAGGACTGGGCCTGGCCGAGTAGCTCAGTTGGTTGGAGTGTCATCCTGAGACACCAAGGTTGTGGGTTCAATCCCCCGTCAGACCACATACAAAAATCAACCAATGAACGCATACGTAAGTAGGATAATTTCTCTCTCTCTCTCTCTCTCTTTCTCTCTCTCTCTCTCTCAAAATCAACACCTAAAAAATTTAAAAAGCCCCGATCAGTGGGGCTCAGTTACTTGAAGCATCATCCCATCCCACACACCAGAAGGTGGCCTTTTGATTTCCTGTCTGGGCACACACTCAGGTTGCGGGTTTGATCCCTAGTCAGGGCATGTGCAGGAGGCAACTGATCTCTCTCACATCAATGTTTCTCTCTCTCTCTCTCTCTCTCATCAATTTTAAAAATTCACCTTTAAAAATGTTTTCAATAAGAAGTAGGATTGGAGCAGAGCAGAGCAGCTGAGGGAAATTCTTCTCTTTTCTCCGTTTTCTAATCCTTTCTGAAGTAGCGTGAACAATAAGAAATTATGAGGACAATCTGGGGGGAAGAGTGAAGCAGACAGAAGCGAGAAGAGGCAGAGGCAGAGGGTTCTAGAATCCATTTTGAGTGGCTTGGAAAGGAGGACCAGAAAGAAAGCAGAGGAGCCGAGTCCAGGGGGAGAACTCCCCCGCCCCTCTCGCCGTCCCTGGGGTCCAGTGGGGAAACTGAGGAAGCCACGGAATTTGAACAGCCGCCCTGCGGCCCTGAGCCCAGCCTTCCTACCACAAGGCCACTGCAATCTCCCGATGTGGGCAGAGAGGGCCGGAGAGCAGGGGGTGTCAGAGGCACCCTGTTGGACACTTGTCATGGCCACCCAGGCCTGCCCAGCACCCTTGTGCTATCACCCCAAGACAGCCTCCCCCCGGAAGAAAAAATGTCCAACACACCCCCAGAGGGCCCAGGAGCCTGGCCACTGTGACAAGACCAGGGGCCCTGAAGAAGGAGAGAAAGGGGAGGTGGAGAGATGGGAAGGGAAAGGAGGGGAGGGATAGGAAGGGAAAGGAGGGGAGGGATGGGGAGGGGAGGGGAGGGGAGGAGAGGGGAGGGGAGGGGAGGAGAGGGAAAGGGAGGGATGGGGAGGGGAGGGGAGGGCAGGGGAGGGCAGGGGAGGCTGCCAGGGAGGGCTGGCGACAGGGAGGAGGGAGGGAGCGAGCAGGGCTGGGGAGCTTGGCCCAAATCAGGACGGAAGCAAAGAAGTGGGGTGAGGGGCGGAGGAGGGACAGTGGGGGTGATAGAGGCTCCCAGGGCTCCTGCCCTCCCTCCCTCCCTCCCCCTCTCCCTTTTATGATCTTGAAACAACCTTCAAGTCTGGGCCCGAGGCCCCAGGAGGCCAGTCTCTTAGGAAACGCGGCTGTTTCTTGGAGACCTTGAGAGCCATCTGCAGCTGGGCCGCGCCCCCCCTCGTCTCAGGCGCATTCTCCCATGGCCTCTCACGTACACCCACGGGGGCCCTGTCCTCCACCGCCCCTGGCCGGCCGCGGGCACGCACCCGCTACACACACCGCTGGTGTTCACAGGACTGTGGCCTCTCCTGTCCCAGGAGCGGCTCCTCTGCAATGGCCATTTTGCGCCCTGGCCGGTGTGGCTCAGTGGACAGAGCGCCGGCCTGCGGACCGAAGCGCCCTGGGTTTGATTCCGGACAAGGGCATGCCCCTCGGTTGCAGGCTCCTCCCCGGCCACACCGGTCTGGGCTCGTGCCGGAGGCAACCAAGGGCTGTGTTTCTCTCGCGTGGATGTTTCTCCCTGTCTTTCCCTCTCACTTCCACTCTCCCTAAAAAGCACTGGAAAAATATCCTTGGATGAGGATTTAAAGAATAAAGAAGGCTCAGTGGGATTACCATGTGGTGCGTTCCCAGGTCTCTCCCCCACGCCCATCCCATACAGCGATGCCCGCTCCATCATTAGCTAGCACACACCTGGGTACACATACAGACCTGTGCCCATACTACTCTGCCTCTCTTTCAAACACCCTCCCCCTCACACACACACACACACACACACACACACACACACACACCCCTCCCTCCCAGATTTCCCCAAGCCAACATCCCACTGGGTTTAGGAACCCCATCCCGCCCTTTGCCGACCCCCTCTCTGCCCTGTGCCTTTCAAACCCACGCCCCAGACCGGGCCCCTGACTCCCCCACCTCCTCCTACTTCCAAGTCTTCATTCCTCACTGCAAGGGCCTCGTCCACACTGGCACCGGTGACCGTGTTCCAAGGAGCAGGAGCCCAGCCCAGGCTCCCAGACCAGAGGACCGGGCATCAGCACCCATTCGTGCCCTGGAGTCTGGTCCACGGCCAGGGCCCAGGCGGTCCCCCCGGGCTGCCCCCCTCACCTGGGCAGGGAGGGTGCTCCGGGGCCCGTGGGGGAGGAAGCGGCCCCGGGTCCCGCCATCTGTCGTCCGGCCCCAATGTGGGGGCCGCGGTGCCCTTGGGGCTGTGGCTGGCCCCGGTGCAGACAGGCAGGGAGCCTGCCAGGCTGTATGGGCACAGGAAGGGCACAGTCCCTTCCGGCGCTGGGCCTCACCACGGGGCCCGGAGCCAGGGCTGGAAGGGCTGGCAGCTCAGGGAGGAACCGGCAGGCTGAGGGAGGGGGAGCCGAGACCAAGAGAGCCCAGCGCTGACGCCTGCACACACACCTTCAGGCTCTGGGGCCGATTTCTCACCTCTCACCCCTGGTGCTTGCAGAGGCAGAAGGCAGCCCAGAACCCCAGCCCAGGCGCTAAAGAACAGGCGCTTCTAACTCCCAAGTCACCCTCTGTCCACCCTGAGCGGGGACGGGGCTGCCCAGTGGCCCCCAGGGACATGGAGGCAGCCTCCCTGGTTCTAACCACAAGCTCCTCGCTGCACCTGCAGCTCCATCCGCTCCTCCCGCACAGGGGCCCTGACCTGGGCCGGGTTCCTGTTTCCGCCCCATCCCTCCCAGGTCCACGTTCAAGATCGGCTGAGGGGCCCAGAGAGCCAAGATGGCTGCCCACTTGTCAGCCGGGAAGTGACTGAGGAGGTGAAAGCGGGTGTGACCTTCCCACCCTAGTGAGAGGGGCCGTTCTGGGGGGAATTCAGCCCTGAGCCCTGTGCCCTCCGATGGACCTGCGGGAGGACAGGTGGTAATCACTCCGCACGGAGCTTCCCAGGGGCCAGGGACGGACAGACCAGCCCCGCCAGTGGCACCTGAGGCCTCCAGACCAGAGGCCCCAGCCCTGCCCTCCTGGCCTCCCGGCCTCCAAGGGGCTCAGGATGCTCAGACTTGCCCCCAGCCCGCGGGCCTCCCTTCACCCGCTCTGTGTAGCCACAGAAATCAGGGCCCTGGGGACAATCCTTCCCCTGACGACTTAAGGAGGAGGCAGGGGTCGGGTCTTCCTTCTGCCCTTCTGTTCTCCCCGCCTCCCTTTGTCCCTCATTCTTCGTCTCCCCGACCGAATAAGCAGCAGCAAGACCCTGCGATCAACCGGTCCCACCTGGGTCGCCTCCTCTCCGCCATGCTAGCTGGTTACAGACACCCCTTCCCACCCCTTCCCGCCTTCTCCGGACTTCGGACCGGAGCCCCCTTTGGTTCTCACGGGTCCTTCCCAGGCGCTTCGCTTACAAGGGCAGGGCCCGGCTTGGGTTCGAGGCCATTTACTTCCTCTGACTGCAGGGTCCCCCGGGCTTCTCTGGGAAGCTGGAGGGAGGCTCAGGGGCCCTGGCTTCTGGTTCTGTCCGTTTACAGTGTTTAATCTCCTGGTGCCTGAGTTTCCTTATCGCAAGGAAGGTGCGCCCTGTGCCTTGGGGTTCGAGGATGCTGGGGGACTGCTCCCCTCTGCCAGGCCCAGGGGTGCATTCACACCCCCACTCCCCCCTCCACCCCCCACTCCCACCTCCACCCGGGCTCCTCGGAGGGGAGCGCGCAGTAGGACCTCCTGACAGCCACTGCCAGTTGCTTTAGGGGCGGGAGGGGAGGAGTCCTCCGGGATCCAGTTTCAACAAATGTTTCTTTCCAGAGGAGGGCGGGCGGGGCCGAGGGGGAGAGGGACTATTTAAAGCTACCCCGGTGCTGGTCATCGGTCTGGCTGCTGGGTCCCTGGCCGTCCCCCGCCTGCGGAGTAGCCTGTGAAGTGTCCTGCTACCCTCTCCGGCCGCTCCCCGCCGCTCTGCCCCAAGATGGGCCGTGGGGTGAGTGTTCCCGGAGAGCCCGGTGGCTCTGGGGGAGAGACGGGCTCTCTGGACGCTGAGACCAGAGGGAAAGTGAGGCGGGAAGGGACGTGGAGGGAGGGGCAGAGAGGAGCTGGCCGGTGGGTGGCTTGAACTTGGGACTCACAGTGAAAAGGCAGGCACAGGCCACTGCTCACACACACACAGACACTGCTCACACACACAGACCACCACTCACACACACAGACCACCACTCACACGCACAGACACTGCTCACACACACAGACACTGCTCACACACACAGACACTGCTCACACACATACAGACACAGCTCACACACACAGACACTGCTCACACACACACAGACACTGCTCACACACACACAGACACTGCTCACACACACACAGACCATTGCTCACATGCACAGACAGACAATTGCTCATACGCACAGACAGACAATTGCTCATACACACAGACCACTGCTCACACACACAGACACTGCTCACACACACACAGAGACCACTGCTCACACACAGAGAGACCACTGCTCATACATACACAGAACACTGCTCACACGCACAGACACTGCTCACAGACACACACTGACACTGCTCACACGCACAGACACTGCTCACACACACAGACCACTGCTCACACTGCTCACACACACACACACACACACACTGCTCACACTCACAGACCCCTGCTCACACACACAGACACTGCTCATACGCACAGACTCCTGCTCACACACACAGACACTGCTCACACGCACAGACTCCTGCTCACACACACAGACTCCTGCTCACACACACAGACTCCTGCTCACACACACATACACTACTCACCCGCACAGACACTGCTCACCTGCACAGACACTGTTCACCCGCACAGACACTGCTCACACACACACAGACACTGCTCACACACACACAGACACTGCTCACACACACACACACACACACTGCTCACACACACAGACACTGCTCACACACACACATTGCTCATACACACACACTGCTCACACACACAGACACTGCTCACACAGAGACACTGCTCACACACACAGACACTGCTCACACACACACATTGCTCACACACACACACTGCTCACACACACAGACACTGCTCACACAGAGACACTGCTCACACGCACAGACATTGCTCACATGCCCAGGAGCGTGGCTCTTCTGCACCCCACCCGTGAGGAGCCCCAGCGCCCCAGCTCTCCCTCTAGGACGTCCACATGGCATCTCTGCCCATTTTTGGCACAGCCCCCTTCCCCCCTCTCACCACATTCCCGGCCTCCCTGCAAAGGCAAAGGGGTATCTGGCACTGTCGGTCCTCCCGCCTCCCGGCTCCCGGCTCCCGGCTGCAAACCTTCATTTCCCTGGGAGCCTGCAGGTCCCATTCGAGGTTGAAGAGGGGCATCTGCTCCTGAGTCACCAGGCGGCTCAGGCGCCTGAGCTCCGGACAGCTGGGAGGGGAAGGGGGAGGGGAGGGAGGTGATGGCCCCAGGCCCCGGGCCAGCACCCTCCCCAGCTCCTGGCAGCACTGGCTGGGCCCGGGCTTGGAGGACTTTCCCAGGCTGGTGAGAGCTGCCTGCCCCGTCTCCTGCCCGGTCTCCTGCCCGTCCGCCCTGGGCATGCCAAGGGGAAGGTTAACAGCCACGGCTGGGGGGCGGGGCCAGGCACCGGGCCTGGGCTCCTTGGAAATGAAATCCTTTCGCAGGCACCGGCTTCCCTTTTGTGCAATGCCGGGCTCGGAGGGAAAGGGCACAGGGCACCGAGGGGGTGCTGTGGGCAGAGGGGCCTGTGGGACCGGGGCTGTCTCTGGGCCCCGGAGGGGTCAGGCAAGGACTTGTTATTGCACTGAGCTTAGCAGCTGGAAAAAGTCTAAGCTTGGACACCAGGGTTCCCGAGCTAGGGTGGGAACCATAAATAGAACGTGCCTGTGTGTGTGTGTGTGTGTGTGTGTGTGTGTGTGTGTGTGTGTTTGAGCGCACATGCGCACGCGTGCCTGCTCTCTGTGGGTGGCGTTGAAACACATTCACGGATGAGCACCTGTGTTTGGGTCTCAGCGGCAAATCTGAGAGCATGCAGACCTCCCAGCCTGCGTGGGCACCGATGCCAGGGCATGTGTGTGTGTGTTGGGGGGGGGGGGGTCTGTGAGGAGCTGTCTCTGCAGGGGCTCCATGGAGAATGCGGTGACAACCGAGGGAAGACAGGCTGCCTTGGGATCTTAGCTGCATCTTGGCATCTCCTGGTCCCCAAGGGAAAGGGGGTCCCAGCTGGGGTGCAGGACCTCTGAGGAGAGGCAGGCGACCCCCCCACCCCCCACTCCCCACCCAGGGCCTCTCCGTGGCTTCGCCTTAAAACAGGGGGGACCCAGCACAAGAGGCCCTGCTTGCAAAGTCATTTGACCTTGACTTTTTCAGGGACCCTAGCTGCTTGGGGACTGTGCTCCCCTCCCCTCCACGCCCCCCACCCCCTGCCCGCCCCGCACCAGCATGGATGGTCCCTCCCCTGCTACCCTGAGTGGCAAGTCAGGGAGCCGATCCAGTTCTGCTCGGACTGGGGATGGGTGAAGTGGGGGGACTTGGGGCTGGAGCTTGGAGTTCCACCGCCAGTAGACTCCTGAGGACAAAAAAGGAGAAAAAGCACCCCTTGCCCACACCCTCGCACCGGGGTCCCCCTCGTCCCTGTCCCTTTGCCCTGCACCTCCCTCCAGAGCAAGGCCTGCCACCCAGAACCCATGGCCGGGAAGGGCAGCGTGGGAGCCGGAGGAAGGGACAGTGTGGTGGGAGGGAGCCCACCCCTCCAGCTGCTGGGGCGGGGGGAGCAGTGGCTGACGTCCAGCTTCCCCCTCCGCCCGCCCAGCCTCTGGCTTCCTCAGAAAGAACTCTCTGTTCTCCGTGAGCATTCAAGGCCCAGACTGGGGCTGTGGGTGGGGGAGGGAAGAACAGGCTGGAGAGGTGGGGGGGGGGGGCGGGGAAGAGAGGGGGGTCCTTGCTTCCTCTCTCTCTTTCTTGCCCAGGCAGCCCGCTGGCCCCAAATCTCCACAGGCTCCTGGCAACCGAGGCTGAGATCCTTGCCAGGGCAGGGGGAGGGGGAAGGGCTGGTGTCCCGAGCTCTGAGCCAGGAGGACGGGGCAGCGCTGAGGGAAGGGGTGCTGCGTGGGCCCGCTCCCGCCACCGCCCGGCATGCTCGACGACGCAGCTGGCCCGTGGGCTGGCAATTATTTAAAAACCATCCATCGGACTCAGAGCTTCTGGACTTTAGTTTACATCTGAATGTGCAGGAACCCAGGCTCTGCTCCTCAGCCCCAGGGGCACCCCGCTCTGTGCACACACACCCTGCTCCCTCCTCCCTCCTCCCTCCTGCCCCTGGAGCTCCAGGGGCCTCCCTGAGCCAAAGGGAGTCCATCCAGCCTGGCCATTCCCTCCCATCCACTTCGCAGCCCTTCCCACCAAGGACAGAGTCTGTGAATCCAAAGCATCTCATTTCATCCAATGGACTCCCCTGAGTCACCTGGGGGAGGGAGGCAGCCCTCCAGGCAGCGCCCTCCCCCCCACCTTCCCCCTCTCCCCCCCCCCCCCTTCCATCTCATTGACATTTCACATGGAGATGATGCAAACTCTAGCGCCTATGGGACCAGGCTGTCCACTCTCGCTGCCTACATCCTCTCACCCTGCTGCTCCTGGTCAGACGCCTCCCTGTCCAGGGCAGATTCCCAGTCCCCGATCAGGGCAACTGGCATTCCTGGCACTGTCCTGACTGACGGACACCACGGCTCTCTCCCGGCCACCAAAGGATTCTGAGGCCGAGAAACCACTCTGTGTGGTGCCATGAGGTGGACACACGTCACTGCATGTTTGTCCAGACCGTTACACTTTTCTAGAATGTGCACCGGCGACGTGAGCCCTCAGGGACCCACAGACTGACAGTGAGCCACTCTGGTGGGGACAGGGATGGGGGGACCACACTGGGGACAGGGATGGGGGGACCACACTGGGGACAGGATGGGGGGACCACACTGGGGACAGGGATGGGGGGACCACACTGGGGACAGGGATGGGGGGACAGGGAAGGGGGGACAGGGATCGGGGGACAGGGGTGGGGGAGACCACACTGGGGACAGGATGGGGAGACCACACTGGGGACAGGGATGGGGAGACCGCAGTGGGGACAGGGATGGGGGGACAGGATGGGGGGACCACAGTGGGGACAGGATGGGGGAGACCGCAGTGGGGACAGGGATGGGGGGAGACAGGGATGGGGGGAGACCACAGTGGGGACAGGGATGGGGGAGGCCATACTGGAGACAGGGATGGGGAGACCACACTGGGGACAGGGATGGGGGAGGCCATACTGGAGACAGGGATGGGGGACCACACTGGGGACAGGGATGGGGGAGGCCATACTGGAGACAGGGATGGGGAGACCACACTGAGGACAGGGATGGGGGGAGACAGGGATGGGGGGGACCACAGTGGGGACAGGGATGGGGGGAGACAGGGATGGGGGGGACCACAGTGGGGACAGGGATGGGGGGAGACAGGGATGGGGGGGGGACCGCAGTGGGGACAGGGATGGGGGGAGACAGGGATGGGGGAGACCACAGTGGGGACAGGGATGGGGGGAGACAGGGATGGGGGAGACCACAGTGGGGACAGGGATGGGGGGAGACAGGGATGGGGGAGACCACAGTGGGGACAGGAATGGGGGGAGACAGGGATGGGGGGGACCACAGTGGGGACAGGGATGGGGGGAGACAGGGATGGGGGGGGACCGCAGTGGGGACAGGGAGGGGGGAGACAGGGATGGGGGAGACCACAGTGGGGACAGGGATGGGGGGAGACAGGGATGGGGGAGACCACAGTGGGGACAGGGATGGGGGGAGACAGGGATGGGGGAGACCACAGTGGGGACAGGGATGGGGGGAGACAGGGATGGGGGGGACCACAGTGGGGACAGGGATGGGGGGGAGACAGGGATGGGGGAGACCACAGTGGGGACAGGGATGGGGGGAGACAGGGATGGGGGAGACCACAGTGGGGACAGGGATGGGGGGAGACAGGGATGGGGGAGACCACAGAGGGGACAGGGATGGGGGGAGACAGGGATGGGGGAGACCACAGTGGGGACAGGGATGGGGGGAGACAGGGATGGGGGAGACCACAGTGGGGACAGGGATGGGGGGAGACAGGGATGGGGGAGACCACAGTGGGGACAGGGATGGGGGGAGACAGGGATGGGGGAGACCACAGTGGGGACAGGGATGGGGGGAGACAGGGATATATGGGAAACGCTCTGTACTATCTGCTCAGTTTTGCTGTGAACCTAAAACTTCTCTAAAAGGAAAGGTGACTTTAAAAACGCACCGCACTTCCTAAAAAGGCAACCACCTTGGCCATAAGTGCCAGCCAGGCACCGTTTCCTACGGGAAAAAACTAACCATACCCCAGCTTAGAAAAGTGTCCCAGACACCTCAGCTCGCACAGAGGCAGGGAGCACCACGGCTCCCCCGAGAGGGGTGCTGCCCCCCCTCGCGTAGTCCCTCCCTCCCCATCCTCCGGAGACAGACGCGCCTGGTGGAGACTCAGGTGCCCGAGAGGAAAGGGAACGCGGTGGCCTCATGAGGCGCCTGTAAAACGTTTCTTCGACTTCACCCGGGAATGCCTGGGCCTAGGAGCCACGAGAAGTTCAGTTTTATTTATTTATTTATTTATTTATTTATTTATTTATTTATTTATTATTTTAATATATATTTCATTGAGTTTTTACAAAGAGGAAGAGAGAGGGATAGAGAGTTAGAAACATCGATGAGAGAGAAACATCCATCAGCTGCCTCCTGCACACTCCCCTACTGGGGATGTGCCCGCCACCAAGGTACATGCCCTTGACCGGAATCGAACCTGGGACCTTTCAGTCCGCAGGCCGACGCTCTATCCGCTGAGCCACACCGGTTTCGGCAGCGAAGTCCAGTTTTAGACTTTTCCTCCGAAGTCCAACCACCGTCAGCTAAGAGTGCGCTCCGGAGGAGTCCCCCAGTCTCCCCTGAAACTCAAACACAGAGCCCCGGGTCTCTGTCAATAGTTTGCAAACGAAGGGTTTCCCCCCCGCCCTCACCCAGTTTCCACCACTTGGGCATCCTGCTTTGCACCCACCGCCCCTGCTCCTCAGGCCTGGCTCCCTGCTGCCAGGGGGGAATAGAGGCTCCGCCTGTCCTCCTGATGCTCTGGGCTCTCCCTCCTCCCGCAGGCCGGACGCGAGTCCTCGCCCGCAGCCACCGCCGCAGAGAATGGAGGCGGCAAGAAGAAGCAGAAGGAGAGGGAGCTGGACGAGCTGAAGAAGGAGGTGGCCATGGTGAGCCCCACCGCCCGGCGTGGGGACCCATGTTAGGAGAGCGGCCCTGCAGCCCGCTGCACTCAGAGAAGCTCATGCCCCCCATCTTCCTTCACCCCCATCTTTCCTCTGCCCCCATCCTCCCTCCTCCCCACCCCCACCCCGTGCTCCTCTCATTGACCTCACGAACGTTCTAAACGCCACACTCAGCCTCCCTCCTCACAGCAATTCTGCTTCCACCCCCAGGATGACCACAAGCTGTCCCTGGATGAGCTGGGCCGCAAGTACCAAGTGGACCTGTCCAAGGTGTGTGCAGAAGCTGGGAGGACACCATCAAGTGCCAGGGACCGTCCACCTGTCATCCAGCCCGTTTCATAGATGGAGAAACTGAGGCCCGGTGACTAACAAGAACCCAGCTGCCCTGCTTCCTAGTCTTTTTTTTTTTTTTTAATATATTTTATTGATTTTTTTTTTTTTTACAGAGAGGAAGAGACTGGGATAGAGAGTTAGAAACATCGATGAGAGAGAAACATCCATCAGCTGCCTCCTGCACACTCCCTACTGGGGATGTGCCCGCAATCAAGGTACATGCCCTTGACCAGAATTGAACCTGGAACCCTTCAGTCTACAGGCCGATGCTCTATCCACTGAGCCAAACCAGTTTCGGCTGCTTCCTAGTCTTGAGCCCTTTTCCTATGTACTACTCACCCTTTAACGCCAGGATCCTGGGGACCCAGGCCCCGAAGGCCTCCGGGCGGGGCTCTCTCTCCCTCCAGCAGCTTCCGTGATGCGCAATCTCTCAGGGCACTGGCATACATGAAATTGTGGAGTGACCTATTACTATTCACCGTGGCATGTTGGGACCCTGCTATGCACGCACGTTTTACATACATGTTTCTAATCCTTGCAACCTGGAGAGACAGGTGCTGTGGACCTCTTTCTTAGAGTGAGGAGACTCAGAGGAGGAGCACAGCTTCCCAAGGTCTCCTCCATAGCAAGCAGCCCAGTCAGATTGCCACGCCCATGGCTTTGAAAAAGAAAAACATTACTAATGAAAAATATGGTCGTGTGGCCTCCTCCTGCAGGCCCTCCAGGATTGCCCTTCTGGAAAGTCTATGGCCCCCATTGCTGTACCTTATTTCCCTTAGTCACACTTCCACTCTCGGGCAGTAAAATCTATCGCGTGTCACCTTCCTAGATCATAAGATCCGCAAAACAAGGACTCTGTGGGTCTCCTGGGCAGAGCTGATAATAGAGCCCGGCATTCATACACATTTATTAAGTAAATGGGGATAGATAGAAAGATAAGTAAAAAGTGTCCTCTGCCTTCAAGGTTCTCAAAGTCTAGTGGCCAAGAGAAATGCCTAGATTTCCACGTGGTGGCGCAGCTCTGGAATCATGGGCGCAGAGAAGGGCGTCCGAGGGGAGCAGGCCAGGCCGGGCTGTCTGGGGAAAGTGATGGGTGATTGCTGAAGCTGAGCGACGGTGATGGTCAAGGTGTAGGACTCTTCTTAAATCCTCGGAGCAATAAACACAAATGTTCCTTGGTGATGTGGGGAGTCTGGAGGAAGAGAGATGGGGGTGGGAGGGTAGGAACCGATAAAGAAGACTTTCCAGTGGGCCTCGCCAGACTGCCTCCAGAGGAGGTTACTGTGGCCCTGAATGTGTCTAGATCCAGTGATGACCAGAGAAGGGGCTGCACTAAACTCCTCCTCACCCTCAGGGCCTCTGACACCCACTGCAAACCCCACCTCCTTCCCGGGGCCTCTCCTGGCTCCTCCGCCCTTCCAACCAGGTGGGATTTCCTCCTCCTGGGGCGTTACTCCCTGCCAATGAGCTGGAGGGAAGTGGTGAGGGGCCAGATTGGCTCTGGAGGCAAATTCCCGCCCTTTTCCTTGCCTCCCTCAGGGCCTCACCAACCAGCGGGCCCAGGACATTCTGGCCCGGGATGGGCCCAACGCCCTCACCCCGCCCCCGACCACCCCCGAGTGGGTCAAGTTCTGCCGCCAGCTTTTCGGGGGCTTCTCCATCCTGCTGTGGATCGGGGCCATCCTCTGCTTCCTGGCCTACGGCATCCAGGCTGCCATGGAAGATGAGCCATCCAACGACAATGTGAGCTGCAGTGCCTGACCCCCAGGCCAGCCCCTGACTCTGCCCTCCAACCCCGAGTCTCCAGTCTAGCTGGGGAGCAGGGGACAAGGCCCTCACATCACAGTGCTCTGTAGGCTGGAAATGGGTGAGGCTTCTATATACACCCCTGTACTCATCCCAACATCCACAGACACACAACCACTCAAGAACAAGAAGGCCCCTCGCTGTTCCTTTACACTTAAGGGGGCCTCTCTGCCATCCCTCAGTCTTCACACCCTAGAGAAGACCCAGCCCTGGGCACGCCCTAAGGCTCTCACCACGCCTTCCAGCCTCAGGGGCTGGGGACTGGAAGACTGAGGGGGGGGAGTCAGAGAGAAGGGCTTCTCCTCCACCATTTTCACTTCCAGTCAGACAGAGGTGGCTTGTCCCATGTGGCAGTTGCCGCCTCAGAGTTGAGAGACGGGCAGGTCTCTCAAACCCTGTCTCCCTGCCAGCTGTATCTGGGCGTGGTGCTGGCCGCTGTGGTCATCGTCACCGGCTGCTTCTCCTACTACCAAGAGGCCAAGAGCTCCAAGATCATGGACTCCTTCAAGAACATGGTTCCGCAGGTAGATGGATGGCCAGCCTGGGCTCTGGGCTGGGACAGGAGGTTTCTGGGCGGGTCCAGCCCATCCCTTCTCAACCTTGTGTTCTGAGATGGAGGCTTGGACAGAGTCTCTCTAGGTCTCTCCCCCAGGACCTAGTTTTGCTGCTAAGGGCTCCTCCCCCTCCTCAGTGGGGTTGAAGGAGAGGGGGGAAAGCAGCAGGAGAGAGAAGTAGTGACCTTGGCCTCCCCACAGCAAGCCCTCGTCGTGCGGGAGGGTGAGAAGATGCAGATCAACGCGGAGGAAGTGGTGGTGGGCGACCTGGTGGAGGTGAAGGGTGGAGACCGTGTCCCTGCTGACCTCCGGATCATCTCTTCCCATGGCTGTAAGGTGAGGAGGCATGCCAGAGCATGGCTGGGTCTGAGGAGAAGGCTGTAGAGAGCTGAGAGGGGCCCAGGTAGAGGTTGGAAGACGGGAAGAGCCGGATCCAAAGGCCAGCACCTACCCCACACCTCCCAGCTGCACCCGGTAGTGCTTAGGCCTGTCTCCGCGTAGCTGTGTGTGATGACTGCTCTGTGCCTAGGTATGTCTTTGATATCAACTTTACAGCCACCTTGTATTGAGCCCCCATTATTGTCAGATAATTTTTTTGTTTTGTTTTTAATTTTTATTTATTGATTATGGTATCACATAATTGTCCTCACCTGATTATGGTATCACATAATTGTCCTCACCCCCCCCCCCCCCGTTCCCATCCCAAACCCCTCCCCAAGTATACCCCCACCCACTGTTGTCCATGGCCACTGGTTAGGCTTATATGCATGCACACAAGTCATTTGGTTAATCTCTCCCCCTTACCTCCAACCTCCCCTACCTTCCCTCTGAGGTTTGAGAGTCTGATTGCTGCTTCCCTGTCTTCAGGTCTGTTTTTGTTCATCAGTTTATGTTGTTCATTATTTCCTCTAGATGTGTGAGATCATGTGATCCAAGAAATGTCAGATGTTTTATATACATTCACATATGCCATGGAATTCAGCTCTGTGAGACTGGCCTAATCGTGCAGGGCTGTTGCATGTGGCCACACTAGGCAGTGCCATTTTCACAGACTACAGTGCCGATGGCACCCCCTGTAGTTGTGCATGGCATAGATTCTGATTACACCCCCCCATTTTACAGACCAATGGATGGTGACTTAAGACCAAGGTCACATTCGAATTCCGCAAGAGCTAGGATTCCAAAGCAGCGCAGGGACAATAGCTGAGCGGCGCTATAAATATGTGATGAGGACAAGTGTAGTTTTGTTCCCCGCGTCACGGAGATAGCATGCAGTTGGAGCCGGAAGACAGCTGTGTGCGCACAGGTGCGGCTGCCAAGCTGACGACTGCACCCTCCCCGCTTCCTCCGCAGGTGGACAACTCATCCCTCACCGGGGAGTCAGAGCCCCAGACCCGCTCCCCCGAGTTCACCCATGAGAACCCCCTGGAGACCCGCAATATCTGTTTCTTCTCCACCAACTGTGTGGAAGGTGAGAGGCCAGCCCGGGGGGGGGGGGCTATCCCAGCCCCCACGGAGGGAGGAGTCTGAATCCTGAACCCCCAGCAGGATTGGGGGCTGTGGTTGCACTTATTCATCAAAAACCCTGCTATAGAGGAGGGACCTGAGGACTTGGGGATGGGGATCCCTGAAGATTACAGAAATAATTCTCCCTCCCCCCCGCAGAGAGCAGGGTATTGGCTGCGATGGCACAACTCCATGGAAAAGTTACCTCCCGCAGAAAGAGCTCTGCTCTGTCCCCCTATCACTGAGTGGATCCCAAAACCTTTAGGCCTTGGCCAAGTCCCCCCACCCCTACCACACACACTCACATTCATTTACACACTCTGACATTCACACATCATACACACATGCACACACATGACACACTCACATGCACACACGTCCCAGGCCAGCCTTGACTCCTGACTGTCATTGACTTGACTGAAGGCTTCTGTTGCTCCTGGGTTGGGGACTTGCTGCCTCCATCCTGGCTCTTGCTTTGACCAGAGCCCCAGGCTGGGGGAGGGGCAGGAAGGCTTCCAAGCCAAGTGGATGCTTGGGCTCTCCCTCAGGCTGTAGCTAGGGCTGCGCTTCACCAAGAAACATTGTCATGCCCAGGCTGCCCCATCCCTGTTCTGGGTTCTAGAGATGACCAAAGGCCAACAAGTCAGGGCTGACTCGGAGAGGGCGGAGAGGGCAAGAGCTGGTGGGAGGAAGAGGCCCGACTATGCCACAGGCTTCAGAACGTGAGCCACAGGAGAGCTTCCTCGCCTCTCTTTGTATCTGTCATTTCTCTTCAGTGGATGCATTTTCTGGGCTACTCCCCTCTTTCAGCAACTTGGTATTATAACAAAAGTCACCACTCATTAAGTTTCCTAACTTTTTCATGTATTGAGATTCTGAAGTTTGCTCTACATTTTCCACAAATGTCAAACATCCTTAGTAAAATATTTCCATCGCTTCCTCCAAACTTGGCCTTGAAGAAATTATAGGAAATGAATGGAACTAACATTTGATAAGAGCCTACTATGTGCTAGGCCCTGGTCTGGGTATTACAGCACAAGCTGATTTAATTGATAAAATAATCCCTAGCTAGGAACTTAAACAAGGATGCAAGCTCAGATTTGGCTGACTCCAACATGCATGCTCTTCCCACTACCACACCCCACCTCTCCTCCCCTGTAGACCTCTTAAATGTCTACCTGAGGGTCAGTAATGGCCTAGCTTCTTTATGGGATTTATGTCTAACGTTGAGAAAGAAAATCTTAAGACTCCATGGAAAATTCATCTTAAGTGCTGTACTTTGTGGGTAATATATAGGAGATTGATTTTATTGATTTTATTGAAGTACTGCAGGCAGTATTTTTGTTTCACTTATTGAATCTCCTTCGTTTGAACTTTGAGTTTATTTGCAAGTCTTTCCATAGGCCCAAGTGTAAGAGAGCTGGGGGTTGGCAATGTGGCCAAGAAGAGAGAGCCCATTGCCCTAGCCTGCTTGGCTCAGTGGATAGAGCGTCAGCCTGCGGACTGAAAGGTCCCAGGTTTGATTCCAGCCAAGGGCACCTGCCTGGGTTGTGGGCTAGATCCCCAGTAGGGGGTATGCAAGAGGCAGCCAAGCAATGAGTCTCTCTCATCATTGATGTTTCTATCTCTCTCTCCTCCCTTCCTCTCTGAAATCAATAAATATATATATTTAAAAAAAAAAAAAAAAAAAAAAGAAGAGCAAGCCCCGGGAGGTACAATCTACTGACACTCCGGGAGCAGAGTCTTAGGTCCATTTCCCCGGGGATGGATTTCCTTCCTCAAGAAGCAGGACAGGACACAGATCCTGGGACCCAAGGCACCCAGCCTGGCGTCTCTTCCTGTGTTGCAGGCACTGCCAGAGGCATCGTGATTGCCACCGGTGACCGGACGGTGATGGGCCGCATAGCCACCCTGGCCTCCGGCCTGGAGGTTGGGCGGACCCCTATTGCCATGGAGATTGAACACTTCATCCAGCTGATCACGGGGGTGGCTGTGTTTCTGGGCATCTCCTTCTTTGTGCTGTCCCTCATCCTGGGCTACAGCTGGCTGGAGGCCGTCATCTTCCTCATTGGCATCATCGTGGCCAACGTGCCTGAGGGGCTGCTGGCCACCGTCACGGTGAGTGGCCGGGCGGAGGTGCCGCCGGGGGTGGGTCTTGCTACCCTTTTCCTCAACTGTGATGGAGGCTTATGGCTCCTCAGCAATGTTTTCACTGCCAGCCCTTCAAATCACGTATCAGATTCTCATTTCATACCTGGCTCAGGGGGTGAGTCTGAAAAAGGTCATGGAATGTCCGGCTCAGAGGTTGGGTCTGAAAAATCTCTGAGTGGCTATGCTTTGGCAAGCAGTCTCTCTCCCACAGCTTGTCATCGTCACCTCTTCTCACCACCCACATGCTGCTCATCTGCCCCCATGGTCCAGACCTTGTCCTGGCCAGCATCCCACTGTAAACGTTCCCTCAAAGGTCACCAGCGACCACCTGGCGAAGCCAGAGGCCTTTCCTCAGCTCCATGCTCAGCTCTGCTGCCGAGAGGAACCCTTCTGTCCACCTGCCGGGATCCTCTCCTTCACTGAGGACTGTGACGTGTCACTACCCTGGTTCTCCTCTCCTCTGTCCCCAGCAGGGTCCTCTCCTTCTCCCCCAAACTGAGTCTCCGGCCTCAGCTCTGTGCTCTTCTCCTTACACGCTTCCGTGATCCCAGTTTCCACTGCCCGTTCTGTGTGGGTGACTCTCACCCCTTCGCCCAGCTCTGCTCTGGCCCTCTCTGGAGCTGTAGACAAATGTCTTCAATCCGTACAAGACATTTCCCTTAATTACACACCCATGGTCTTGGTTCAGCTGCTCACATCTCGGTCCCCCTCATGTCTGTGGAGTGGGATCAAGGAGTGAGGGCTCGAGCCCATGCTCTGGGGGGAACCATAGACATTGCGGGCTCAGGCGTGGCCGTCTTTGTATCCTCCTCTCCTTCTATCAGGTGTGCCTGACGCTGACAGCCAAGCGCATGGCGAGGAAGAACTGCCTGGTGAAGAACCTGGAGGCGGTGGAGACGCTGGGCTCCACCTCCACCATCTGCTCTGACAAGACGGGCACCCTCACCCAGAACCGCATGACAGTCGCCCACATGTGGTTCGACAACCAGATTCATGAGGCCGACACCACCGAAGACCAGTCTGGTGATTGGGCAGGCCAGAGGGGGGTAGGGGTCTGGCAGGCGTCCAGGACACGGGGTGGGGGAGTGGGTGGAGAGGGGTAAGAGCTCCTGGTTCTCCCTCACGTTCTCCCAGGGGCCACGTTTGACAAGCGATCGGCCACGTGGACGGCCCTGTCTCGGATTGCTGGCCTCTGCAACCGTGCCGTCTTCAAGGGCGGGCAGGAGAACATCTCTGTGTCTAAGGTAGAGGGTCAGGGCCGTCTCCACAGCCTGTGCCCTGTGCTCTGTGTTGATGCCCAGCTTCCCCCATGCCCTGTGGTGGCCTCCAAGGCTTCGTGGCCTCTCCTCCCGGTCCTCCATCCTCCTCTGGCCCCACTGGGACACTGACTTCTCTCCTGGCAGCGGGACACAGCTGGAGACGCCTCTGAGTCCGCTCTGCTCAAGTGCATCGAGCTGTCCTGCGGCTCCGTGAGGAAGATGAGGGACAGGAACCCCAAGGTGGCGGAGATTCCTTTCAACTCCACCAACAAGTACCAGGTCTGGTCAGGGAACGGGGACAGGGGAACGGGAGGGACAGGGTGAGGGGCGCACAAAGCCAAGGGGGAGTCATCAACGTGAGAAGGGGAGGCATCCGGGTGTCAGGTCCTCTCACCCCTGCCCGATTCCCCAGGGCGACTCGGGTGACCTCCTGTCTGGTCACCATCACCCCTCAGCTCCTGACCTTCGTTCCTTCATTCCCCCCACCCTCTCAACTCTTCTCCCAAGTGCTCCCCATCCTCTGGCCCCAGGCTCTCAACCCTTCCATCACGCTCGGTGGAAACGTACTTCTGAAGTTCCCTTAGCACATCCCTCCCCCTGCAGGCCCCTGGGAAATGCCCCTGACACAGTCTCAGCTGCGTCCCGTGTGGGTGAAGCCCCCCCGAGGCCAGTGTAGTGGTGGGGAATGCTGACAACACAGCCATCTAGCCCAGTGGTCGGCAAACTCATCAGTCAACTGAGCCAAATATCAACAGTACAACGATTGAAATTTTTCTTGAGAGCCAAATTATTTAAACTTAAACTTCTGCTAATGCCACTTCTTCAAAATAGACTCGCCCAGGCCATGATATTTTGTGGAAGAGCCATACTCAAGGGGCCAAAGAGCCTCATGTGGCTCCAGAGCCCCAGTTTGCGGACCACAGATCTAGCCCAGGCACAAGGCCTGTCTTAAGTGATCTTAATAGACATTTGCTGAGTCAATGGGTGTCCTAGGAAGAGGACTCTCAGGTTACAGGGTTGGGACTTTTGCTTCAAACATCTCTCCACACACAAAAGGTGTGTCCCTGTGCCCACAAGGGTGGATGAGTCAGAGGTGGTTTTATTAACGGAGGGCTTCTTACCAGCCTCTGCCCTGGGCATTGGGGCTAATAAGACAATCATGGCCCCCTCTGTCCCTGCCCATCCTCTCTCCAGCTGTCCATCCACGAGCGAGAAGACAGCCCCCAGAGCCACGTGCTGGTGATGAAGGGGGCCCCGGAGCGCATCCTGGACCGGTGCTCCTCCATCCTGGTGCAGGGCAAGGAGATCCCACTGGACAAGGAGATGCAGGACGCCTTCCAGAACGCCTACATGGAGCTGGGAGGGCTCGGCGAGCGTGTGCTGGGTGAGGGGCCCGGAGCAGAGAGCAGGGAGCAGGGCTGAGCAGGATGCCCACGCCTCAGTGGCTTTCCTGGGATGAGGAGCTTTGGGGTGTTCAGGCAGCCACCTGGCTGCTCTCAATCCTCCCTTCTGCCCCCCGCTTTCCCCTTCAGGGTTCTGTCAACTGAATCTGCCCTCCGGAAAGTATCCCCGTGGCTTCAAATTCGACACCGAGGAACTGAACTTTCCCACGGAGAAGCTCTGCTTCGTGGGGCTCATGTCCATGATCGACCCTCCCCGGGCTGCTGTGCCCGACGCTGTGGGCAAGTGCCGGAGTGCAGGCATCAAGGTACAGGCCCCACTTCTTCCTTTTCCCCCCTTCCTCCTCCTCCCCACTCCGAAGGTCAAGAGACAGCAGGGGCTATTGGCCTGGGGACACCCAAACCCCTGACGAGCTTGTCCTCACTGATTGAGAGGAGCAGCTGTCACCTGCAAGGAAAGGCCGGCCCCTGCCTCGGAGAGCTCACCTTCCTGTCCCCTGAGCTCTGAGTGCCCAGCCTCCCACGCCGAACCTCTCCCTCCCTGGCATGGCTCATTCTGTTCTGATGGCAAGCTGATAGGCACCCCTATCTTGGGCACATGGTGTGGTGCCCCTCCCAACTACTGCCCACTGTCCCTAGCCATTTGGGATGGGGTTGGCAGGCTCCAGTCTGCATCCACTCCCTGACCGCCCCCCCCCCACAACCCTGCAGACAGGCTCCAGCACCCATTCCCCTTACCACCCTCTCCCATGTTTCCTGGTCCAGTTGTAATGGCTTCTCAATGGCCATTCCTTCCGTGGTGCTGTATTTAACAAATATTTTTCATTTACCAACTATGTACCGGGCACTGTTCAAGTGATCAACAAATAACCCAACATAAATCCCTTCCATCTTGGAGCTTACTTTCCGGTTTCAAAGATACCTCACTTTAAAAAACAAAACAAAACAAAAAACACAAACTCACAAAGACAGCATTTAGCCCCGGCTGGTGTGGTTCAGTTGGCGTGTCGGCCCGTGCAACGAAGGGTCTACAAGTTTGATTCCCGGTCAAGGGCACATACCTGGCCTGCAGGTTCCCTCCCTGCCCCCAGTCAGGGCGCAAGTGAGAGGCAACCAGTCAATGTAACTCTCCCATATCAATGTTTCTCTCCCCCCCCCCTCCCCGCTTACTTCCCTCCCTCCTTTCCACTCTCTGGAAAGCAATGGAAAAAATATCCTCTGGTGAGGATTAACAACAAGCAAACACACAGAAAGACAGATGCACACTTTAACCCCCCCTTAACCTAGTGACTCGCCAGGGAAGGTGCCACTGCTTCCTCCTCTTTTTCTCAGCATCTCCCCTATCACCACGTAAGTTCTACTTGTCCTGTCTCCCGAGGGTCAAGTGCTGCGCTAGGCACGAGATTCTGAAATGAATAAGACTCAGCCTGAGTGCCAGAGGTCATGGTCTCTCCGGGAGAACGAATGCCTTTACAATTGGTTAATCACAGGACAATCACAATAGTTAGGGTAGTTGAGCACTGACTATCGGTCAGATACTCTAACAAAAGCAGCCAATTGTTTTTGTAAGACTTGTATGAACCAGGCACTAAACCTGTAACATCTCATTTGATCTTCATAACAACCCTATGAGTAGACACTAATGTTTTCCCTTTTTCACACAGAGGGCCCATGGCACACGTAGCATGCCCAGGAACACACAGTCCACAAGTGGTAGGGCCAGGATTTGAACCGAGGCAGTCTGCTGCTTCTCAGCCATCACACCAGAGGACTAGTCTGTATATATCTGTCTGTGCATGGCTTCTGAATCCTCTACCACTCACTCTGTCTCTGAGGTAGGCTTCACTTTCCCCATTTCAAAATAAATCCAGCTGAGACTTAGCATGGGGACGCAGCTTTCCCCAAATAAATCTGCAGGTAAGAAGGGGGTTGGCTATATCAAGCATGGCCTGCTTCTCCGCTGCCCTGCTCCTTCGTCTCCCTCTTGCCATGATCAGAGCCATCACAGAGGCCTGGGGAAGTCCCTCCGCGGGCAGCCACGGCAGGGAGCAGTTAATTCCGCCTTGGGAAATTGGACAATGTTTTATAGAGGGCATGATATCTGATCTGGGCCTTGAAGGTTGACAAATATTTTGTAAGGCCTCGACGGAGAGGAAGGCAGGTCAAGAGCAGGGAACAGCGTGTACTCTGCGGTGAGACTGTACCGGGCGTTTGCGTGGGTTGCAGGGAGAGGTGGCAGAGGAGCACTGGGAATTGAGACTGAGACGGGCCAGGGCCAGTTGGGAGGACTTTATGCCAGACTTGGGCTTTTATCTGGGGGCCACATGTGTCACAGGACACTCTAGCTTCTAGATGGAGGAAGGCCTCGATTTGGAGAAGATCTGAAGTCAGGGAGACAGGCAAGAAGAAACTGCAATATTTCAGGCAAGGGATGGTGATCCAAACAAGGCCAGAGACAAAGGGAGTCGTTACATTCAAGGAACCTTGTGAGAACTTGGTGACGAAACTGGATATGGGAGGAGAGGAAGATATGGGAGATAGGGCCTGCATGGAAGAGGGATAGTGTCTAAAGCCGGGAGTGGAGCAGCAGGCACGGTGGTGGTCGTGGTGGTGCTGGTAGTGCTGGTGGTGGTGGTAGTGCTGGTGGTGGTGGTGGTGGTGGTGGAAATAGAGATAGTGACCTCAATTTGACCTTCCATTCAAAGAATCTATAAAACACCCAGGGAGAGATGGTCCAGAGAAAGTTGGAATGTTTTTTAGAGCTCAAGAAAGAGGGCCAGGACCAGAAAGTTGATACAATGAAACTCTGGGTAATTACAAATTGGACCGCTTCCCATTGCCCAGGAAAAGAGCACGGGTCAAGAAAGAAGAGAAGAAGGAAGCCCTGGGCCACACCCACATTTAGGGGCACGTACAGGAATAGGAACCAGTGACAGAGGGAGAGGGCGCTAAGACACAGCTAACATGTGCTGGACATCCACCAGTGTCACATACTCTGCATGACCTACATGAAAGGCAGAACTCATCTTCTCCGTGTGCTGAGACTCAGTGAAGGCCCTTGTCTAAGGTCCCATAGTGGGGCAAGCTAGCACTTCCACTCAGGTAGCCTTCTGACATACACACACTCACACACACACACACACTCACACACAGACACCTACACAGACTCACTCTCTCTCTCTCACACACAGACACTCACACACACTTTCTCTCTCACACACACACTCACACAAACACACTCACACACAGACACACACACTCACTCTCTCTCTCACACACACATACACACATACACACACACTCACTCACACACACACTCACACACACACACACATACACACACACACTTACACACACATACACACACTCATACATACACACACACATACACACACTCACACATACACACACTCGCACACACAATCACACACAATCACACATATACACACACGCTTCCACGCCCATTGTTTTAGCTGGGATCTATGAGCCCCCATCTGCCTTTTCCTGTCTTTGGGAAAGGAATAAGCTGGCAGGGTGGTGGGCCCAGGCTTAATGCTGCTGTGCCGTTCTTCTTTCTCTCTTCTCCTCTCTCCTCCCCGCCAGGTGATCATGGTGACCGGGGACCACCCCATCACAGCCAAGGCCATTGCCAAAGGTGTGGGCATCATCTCGGAGGGCAACGAAACGGTGGAGGACATCGCCGCCCGGCTCAACATCCCCGTCAGCCAGGTCAACCCCAGGTGAGGCCTCTGCAGGGCGCCCTGCCCCAGCACCCCACTCCTCGCACGGGTGCCGGAGCCCTGCCAGGGACTCGGGATCGCACCTCTGGGACCTTGCCGCCTGTCCTCCGGCTCCTCAGTCCTGAGAGTGTCCGAGCTGTGTCACGGTTTATGTGTGTGACCTTGGACATGTCCCCTCACCTTCCGGAGCCTCCATTTTCCCGACTACAAAAGTAAGATGCTGTCTACACCGCAGGGTGGCTCTGGCAAGGAAATACGTCTTGTGGGAGTGAGTGCAAGCCCAAGAAACTGGACTGTGATTATGTGCATGGCGAGGATCTCGCATCACTTCCTCTGAGAGAGAGAGAGAGAGAGAGAGAGAGAGAGAGAGAGAGAGAGAGAGAGAGGGAGAAGAGAGAGGCCACCAGCAGGGATGCGGGCCTGGGAGAGACCGGAGCCCGGGCAGGCAGCGGGGAGAGGCGACTGGGTGACGGGGGCCCGCACTCTGTCCTCCCTCCAGAGAGGCCAAGGCGTGCGTGGTGCACGGCGGGGACCTGAAGGACATGACGTCGGAGCAGCTGGACGAGATCCTCAGGAACCACACGGAGATCGTGTTCGCGCGCACGTCGCCGCAGCAGAAGCTCATCATCGTGGAGGGCTGCCAGCGGCAGGTGAGCGCCCGGGGCGCCCCGGAGGGCGGGCGGGCGCGGCGGGCGGGTGGGCGCAGCCCCTCCAGCGTGGCTGTGCCCCCCTCCCCCAGGGTGCTATCGTGGCGGTGACGGGCGACGGCGTGAACGACTCCCCGGCGCTGAAGAAGGCGGACATTGGCATCGCCATGGGCATCTCGGGCTCCGACGTGTCCAAGCAGGCGGCCGACATGATCCTGCTGGACGACAACTTCGCCTCCATCGTCACGGGCGTGGAGGAGGGTGAGCACCACGGCCGCCTGCGCCCCTGCTTCCCGGGCCTTTTAGGCGACCGCGGAGCCAGCTCCGGCTTCCAGGGCGGCCACACTGCGGGGCGAGGGGCGAGGGGCGAGGGGCGAGGGGCGGGGAGGGCCCCTCTGAGCGTCCCCTTGCTCTCGCCACCCCCTCAGGCCGCCTCATCTTCGACAACCTGAAGAAGTCCATTGCCTACACCCTGACCAGCAACATCCCCGAGATCACACCCTTCCTGTTCTTCATTATCGTCAACATCCCCCTGCCGCTGGGCACCGTCACCATCCTCTGCATCGACCTGGGCACGGACATGGTGAGGCCAGGGCCGGAGGCGGGGGCGGGCCAGGCGGCCGCATGGGCACCGGGGGCGGCAGATGGGAGGAGGAGGACCAGGGGCGGCTGGCCAGGCCCTGCTGGCCGAAGAGGAGGCAAGCCCTCAGGCTCCCTCCGACGCCCTCTGTCCCCCCGACCCTCCGTCCCACACAGGTCCCCGCCATCTCCCTGGCCTACGAGGCCGCCGAGAGTGACATCATGAAGCGGCAGCCGCGGAACCCGCAGACGGACAAGCTGGTGAACGAGAGGCTCATCAGCATGGCCTACGGGCAGATCGGTGCGCTGGGGCCCGGGGATCAGGAGGGACCCCCGAGACTGCCCGCCCCAGCTTTGGGAGGCCAGGACGGGGGGGAGGGGGCGAGGGGGGGGACGGTGCTTTCCCCAGGGTCAGGGACAGACACCTGCTGGCCCCCTCCGGCTTCCTGCCCTGACCCTGGCCCTGCCTGTGACCCACAGGGATGATCCAGGCCCTGGGCGGCTTCTTCACCTACTTCGTGATCCTGGCTGAGAACGGCTTCCTGCCGACCCGGCTGCTGGGGATCCGCCTGGACTGGGACGACCGGTCCACAAACGACCTGGAGGACAGCTACGGGCAGGAGTGGGTGAGCGGGGCCGTGTGCACGAGAGGAGGGTCTGAAGCTGGCAGAGGTGGCCGGTGCGGCTGACGGGGGGCGGAGGGCTCGGTGGGGACTGGGTGCCCAGGGTCTAACTGGCCCCGAAGGATGCTGCCCCCGGTCCTGCCAGTCCTTCTCACGCTGCGGCTCCCTGCCCGCCCCTCCCAGACCTACGAGCAGCGGAAGGTGGTGGAGTTCACCTGCCACACGGCCTTCTTCGCCAGCATCGTGGTGGTGCAGTGGGCCGACCTTATCATCTGCAAGACCCGCAGGAACTCCGTCTTCCAGCAGGGCATGAAGTGAGCGCCCCCTGTACCCCCCCCCCCGGCGTCCCTCTCCCCCACCCCTGGCCCATGGGCACCACCTCCGTGAGGTCCCTCTCAGCTGGGGACAAAGGCTTGAGTCACCCAGCTGCATAGCCACGCTCACGTTTTTAACCGAGGAGACGAGAGGAGCGATATGACTGAAAGATGAGACAGAGGGTGCGGAGACCAGGACCAGGACGTGGACTTTATTGGAGGAGAGGACCGCTGCCAGCTGCCTCCAGAGGGGAAAGAGAAGGGTGGGGGTGCAGGCAGCTTTAAGGGGAGGAAAGAGAAGGGACGGGGCTTAGGACACTCAGCACATGCTGATTGGTGGTTTCGTGTAAGGCACATGATTAGGGACCTAGGGACTCAGGAATCGGGGTATGTGGCGACCATGCCGTGAGGAGACAGGAGCAGGGAGTCCATGACACGGCAGCTCTGGGCTGGGACTTACTGAGCAGTGAGTGTGTGGGGGACGGGGAAGGTGAAGGCCACTGGCTAAACCCAGACCAACCGAGGGGCAAATGGAAATGAGACAAAAGCCAGGCTGGGTGCTGGGCGTACTATACCAACAGGCCCCCTGGCACAGGCAGCCTCAGCCCTCGGCCCCTCTTGCCCCCGCCCCCGGGCCCTCAGAGGTCCGATTTCCATTGTCCCAAAGCTCCACGGAAATCCAGCACTGCCTGTGAGAAGGTCCAGGCTCGGCAGAGGCCTAGGCCTGAATATAGCCGTCGCATTAGCGTGGTTCTGTGTGGTGGAAGCTGGGACATCTAATGAATTTTAAACAGGGAAAATACAATCACTAATTATTAACAAATGCAGCTTGCGAGACAACAATCAATTTATAAAATGTGGCCTTTCTGGAAGAAAAATAAGGAAATGAGGGGTCCTTAGTGAGGGAACCACTGGCTTAAGCCAGAAAGAGAGGACGTGCACACAGTGAGGGCAGGCAGGGCAAACAGAGGACTGAGCACCGTCCATGTTCGAGAGCTTTCCATGCCTTTGCCAGCAGCCCTAAGATAAAAGGCAGCATCTCCATCTTACACAGAAGGAGCACGAGGCTCAGAGAAGTCAGGAAGCGTCGCTTACCACCAAGAGCCGGTGAGCGGCAGCCATAGACTAGATGCCACCTGACTGGCTCCAGCAACTGCCCTCAGCCTCTTCTCACGTTGCTTTGCAGCTCGGACACAGTAAACCTGCCTTAAGCACCATCTCTCCAGCGAGCCTCCCCCCTGAGAATGTTCCCTTCTTGGTTGAATATCTACAACCCACAGCTCCCAGGGGCTGCAGGGACCCTGTGGGTGCAGGAGACTTAGGGGGCCCTGAGCAGAAGCAGCTTGCCTGGCATCTTGCTGGGGAGTTGGCACGTTCACAGACCACTCCCCGGGGGCAAGAACGAGAGTGTAAGCTGCCTGAGGGCAGGGCCCAGGCCTCCAGGGGGAAGCTCGGGTTGCCCGCAGCGTCTCCAGGACAGAACACCTCACCCGACACATAAAAACGATTTATCTAATAAACGAAAACATGCGCTAGACACAACAATGAGGGGTAACATCACTAAGCATAACAACGAAAGATCATTCTGGGGTTACACACCGCCTGGGGTGCCTGCAGAGGGCACAGGAAGAGGCACTGATGACCTTTCCCCCCCATTTCCTCTTGCCTCTCTCCCCTCCACCACCAGGGGGCCCTGGTCCCTCCCTCCCTCCCTTCCTGCCCTCCCTCCAGATGCTACCTAATCCCCCTTTGCCTTTCCAGGAACAAGATTTTGATTTTTGGGCTCCTGGAAGAGACAGCGCTGGCTGCCTTTCTATCCTACTGCCCAGGCATGGGTGTGGCCCTCCGTATGTACCCGCTCAAGTGAGTATTTCTTTTTTTTTTTAATTTATATATATTTTATTTTATTTTTACAGAGAGGAAGGGAGAGGAATTAAAAACTAGAAACATTGATTAGAAAGAAACATTGACCAGCTGCCTCCTGACAAGGACAACCAAGATATATTCAGAAGTGGAAAGGAGATAGGCCTAGTTTTATTGCTAGGGCTATGGTTATTATAATTGACGCTGTGGGGTTAATTAATTTTATAATGGACCAGTGGCCAGTATACATTAGATTAATGATTGCGGCTATTATGAGGAGTATGGAGGCTGTTGCTTGTGTGCCCTTGACTGGAATCAAACCTGGGATTCTTCAGTCCGCACGCCGACACTCTATCCACTGAGCCAAACCGGTTTTGGCTCAACTGAGTATTTCTTTAAAAAGGCAGCTTCTAGCCTGGCTGGGTATTCAGCTGGCCCTATGCGCCAAGGTTGCAGGTTCGATCCCAGGTCAGGACACATACAAGAGCCAGCCAGTGAATGCATAAATAAGTGGAACCACAAATCTCTCTCTCCCTCTCCCCCTTCCTCTCTCACAAACAAACAAACAAGTAAACACTAAAAGGGCACCTCCTAGGATCCACGTTCCAGCCCATTCCAGCCCTCCTTGCTGTACCAGCCTCCGAGGTTCCTAACCCTGTCCTCTGCCACTCGCAGGGTCACCTGGTGGTTCTGCGCCGTCCCCTACAGCCTCCTCATCTTCATCTACGATGAGGTCCGGAAGCTCATCCTGAGGCGATACCCCGGTGGTAAGCACCTCCGCACCTCACCCCCCCCCCCAGGAGATGCCACCCTGGCTGTCCCCCCAGGCATCCCCACCCAAACGCCATTCCAGCCGCAGAGCGCACAGAAGCTGGAGTCCCAAGTCCCGGAGCCCTGATGGTTGACTCTGTTCTCCGCACCCTCTTTCCCTCAGAGTCTGGTCCCTCCTAACATGCAGTGGGTCTCCGAGGCCTCGCACCTTCCACCCAGAGTCACAGAAAGTCAGAATTAGAAAGGCCCTGTCCCCCTCCACATGTCACAGACACAGGGAGAGGAGTTACGTGTTCAGGGTCATGAAGCACAGTTGACCAGCTGACACCAGAACCAAGATCTCCTGACTCCCAAGCCTCAGCCACGTGTGTTTTCCCCCAACAAGCATGTTGTTCCCTCACTGGAGGGTGAAACGGATGGCCTAAAGCCAAATACAGTCCATGGATGATGCTGGGTCTGGCCGGCCCTGTCTTGCGCAGGAGTCTGCTTTTTTAACTGCCCAATATTTAAAACTGGGGAGCCCTCACATAAAATAAAAATTTCTAACTTCTAAAAAAAAAATTACAAGAGCTACCCACCCTATGTCCCCATCTCTGCTCAGCAACACTGGGCGGCTGCCCCTCTGGAAACTTCTGTGTTACCTGAACAGCCACTGCAGTAAATTTGCATTTTTATCCCCAGCTACTCTATGCCCTCCCTCTACTGGGCCAAGTGCAAGCATTGAAGGCCCCAGCTCCCTGGGTTTTCTCCCCTCCCTTTTCACCTGTCCACAGTCCCTTACCTCAGCCCCTGCACCAGGCTGCTAGCCACCTGGCCCCTCTCCTCTTTGTATGCTCACCTTGCAACCCCCACTCCCAAATCTCTCCAACAGGCTGGGTGGAGAAGGAGACATACTACTGAGCACGCTGGAAAGAAGAATCAGGATGGAAAAGATGGGGAGCCCTGGAGGAGTTGCAGGGATGGTGACGGGGAGAGGTGGTCTTAGGGGAAGAGTTGGGGAGAAAGAATGAGGCAGTTTAATAGGCTAAATGGGGAATGGAGGGGCTGGGTAAAAAAGCTTGGGATGATTGCCCCAGAGACCTAACTCTGAACAGTCAGGTTAGACACTCTCCCCAGACCTTTGTCCATCCCCCTCCACCGTGTTGTCTGTTTTTATGAGAAACTGAAGGTTGCTCCAGCCTCCCCATTCCCTATCCCTCTGCCCCCACCTCTCCCTAAAACAGACCAACTTCCAAAGGCAGGAACACGTCTAACCAGGAGGAAGGAAACAGTCTCAGATGACCAGCTGTATCCCATGTCCCCCCTTCACCCCTCTTTTGCTTCCTGCCCAACTCTGTCCCCTGCTTCCTCGTCTGACCCAGAAATCACAAATGGTCCCCCCTGTCGAGGCCAGAAAGGGAAGTTGGTTGGGAAGCCAGCCTGGCTCCCAGTCCTGGCTAGTTAAGAACCTCTGGCGGAGACGGGGCAGCCGCAGACAGTGCGAGGTCAGGGTGTGGGGGCGGATGGCGAGGGGAAAGGGAAGAGATCAGTGCACTTGACATCTGGCATCTCCAGGTAAATGCCTGGGATCCAGCTCTGTGTCCAACCTTTTAGAGCCCTGCCCGCAGAACAAGTTCAGTAACATCAGAGTAGCAGCAGAGGCAGGACCCGAAGGCAATCGGGAGTTTCTCTGAGATCCCATACCCAGAGGCCCACTGACCTTGCTTGGTGGTCTGTTCGGTCCATGAGGCCCAGGCATCACATCACCGATGCTCCAGCTCTCAATCACACACACCTGATGACACCTGCCTTTGAATGCCTCGAAAGTTCCACGCTGTTCTGAGTGGGGTGGCTGCCCATTCATTCCCTGCCCCTTCCACCCCTCTCCCCTCCCGCCCATGCTGAAGAACCTGTCTTATTGCTAGGCACTGCCAAGCCATGAACTCCCTGGCCAGCAGCTGGAGCTGGAGGGGAGGGGTTCCCAGAGCCTTCCTGTCTTCAAGAGACATGCAGAATCAGCTTAGGTCACCAACACGGTCAGCCCTCTGGGCCAGAGGGAACGCACGAGGGACCTGCCTCTGGCCTCCCGGTCAGAGGGGCTGTTCCTCCCCAGCAAATGCCCTTCATCTGATGTTCCTTGTGCCACGTTCCCCTTGTGCCCACAGTTGGTTTCCTGTTCCTATGGATATTCTGTTCCTTCCCTTCCCCCCTCTCCTCCTAGCGTTTCTGCAGGTAGCTCTGCCCATTCTGTAAGGCCGGCTTAGAAAGCGCTGGGCATGTCCTGCAGAGACACCTAGATGGACACAGCAAGTGTCAGGCACCTAAGGAAAACGGAAGGCCTGAGGCAGAGAGGACGGAAGCATCAAAAGCCGACTCTAGGCCAAGCCCATAAGCCACCTCCCGAGGTCTGTTACGTCATTTCAGCGGAGTTCTACTTCACCGGAAGTGCCTTGAAATAAGCGTCATTGCCCTGGGCTTGGATAGCTAAGTGGGAAACCACACACATTTGGGCCTGACTTATTTGAGATTTATTGACTGTGGACAAAAGTTTCTCTTTGTACAATTAATACACAAGGCAATTGTTTAGTAAGTGAAGAGCATAAACAATATCGCTAAGGGTGGCATATTTAGATGACCTAAAACAATCCTTCTCAAGCACTCTAGGAATCGCCATTTAGAAGTCGTGAGTGTATGGGCTAATTATCATTAATTCTCATATATTTGTTAAAGAAACATCTGCAAGACCTTTACTTGGTGACCTTTTATAAGACATTAGTTTGAGGCACTACATATGTACTTGAAAATAATAAAGATGCATTTCTTTATGAAAAAAAGAAATCCCTTCAATAATTCTATAATACTTAATACTTTCCTCTCTCCCAAATTGTGGTATTGAAAAGTGTGCTGAAGCAGGACTTGGCTTGTAGACAAAGAAATGGAGGGCAGGATACAGGGATTGGAAGGAGCAGATATCAGTGGAGAAAGCTAGAGGGGAAGAAGTTATGTTGCAAAATGATATAGAAGAAAATTTAGCAGAACCTCCTTCCTCGTTGCTGAACCTCCCCCTCCCTCCCCGCCCCCCCCCAAAAAAAATCACAAAGGGTTGTCCAGAACAGGAAAGGGCCTCGGAGTCTACTGGGGCCCAAATACCTAGAGCCACTCTGCTTTTTGTTTCAGCTCAAAATCAGGGCGCTCTCAGTCTGAGGAGGTGGGGGAAGGAGATGGTAGGCTGAGGGGCCCTGAGTGTCAGCACCCATTGACAGTCTATCGTATACCAGCTACAGCACACTGTGTGCAGGGCCCTGTTCTGGGTGCTGTCTTTGGGGGATGGAGGGAAAAGGGGATGCAATCCTTGAGGCTCACAATGCAGCAGACTTCAGGAACCTTCATGACCCTGGCCAGTGTGGCTCAGTTGGTTGAGGGTCAGCCCAGGCACCAAAAAGTCACTGGTTCTATTCAGGATCAGGGCATAGGCCCAGGTTGCAGCCTGATCCCCTAGTAGGGGGCATGCAGGAGGTAGCTGATTCCATCAATGTTTCTCTTTGGTTTCAGTAAGAACATTTTTTTTTCTGCAAAAATTTTTTATTGTTTCATTTGGTCCAATGCATGGGAGAGGGCTTCAGGGGGTTAAAAGAATGGCTAGTAGCTGAAACCGGTTTGGCTCAGTGGTAGAGCATCGGCCTGCGGACTGAAAGGTCCCAGGTTCGATTCCGGTCAAGGGCATGTACCTTGATTGCAGGCACATCCCCAGTAGGTGGTGTGCAAGAGGCAGCTGATCGATGTTTCTCTCTCATCGACGTTTCTAGCCCTTTATATCTCTCCCTTCCTCTCTGTAAGAAATCAATAAATTATATTAAAAAGAAAAAAAGAAAAAAGAAAAAAAAAGAATGGCTAGTAGTTTCGGGGAGAGGCTCAGTTAAAAGCCAGACACTCAAAGGCCTCGGGGCTCCACAGGCTCCTAGTCGTGCTGGAGGGTGAGCCTTTGGGAAAGACACTCGCCCCGCCCAGCCTGGGGCTGGCAGCCTGCGGAGGGGATCTAGGTGTGGCCCATCTTCCTGATGAGTTTCACCTCCTACCCCCTTCTCTTTATTTTTATTCACAAATAGAATTTAGGTAGATATAGAGATAGAGGACCAAACCAAGAAGGTGGTGTAGGTAAACGCCTATACCATCTCCCACAACTGATTCACATCCGAATTACAACTAAAATTCAGAACTGTGAGTGTCCCACATCCCTCATGGTTCAGGGTTCAGGTTCAGGGTTCGGGCTCTGGAGGAGGCTGCACACAAATGAAAGAGACAATAAATACTAATTTAGAAATTGGGGGCCAGGTGAAAGCACAAGGAAGGACTCCACGCTCTGCTCTGGCCTTGCTATCCCTTTTATTCAGGTTTGGGACACACCCGTAGCCCTTAGGCAGGCAATTCCAGTAATAGCTCCATGATAGCCCAGCAGCAACGATTTACCTGAGACTAAAAGGTGGAAGTTGTTTCAGCTCCCTTTGTCTCAACTCGACAGTGGGTGTATGGTCTGACCCTTGCCAGAGCCTCAAGGTTGACCGGCCTTCTGGACTCCTTGTCCAGCTCTTTCTGCTAGGGAAGGCAATGGGCAGCTTCCAACACAGAACAACCATCATTCTGAGCTGCCTGAAAGCTGGCTGAATGGAGGTCCTATAAGTAGAGAAATAAAGAGGAAAACACATTGAGACAGGTAGAATGGGGTGGAAGTGCAGAATGGGCTGGTCTGATACCCATGTGTGCCATTTTTTTAATCGCGAGGCAGATCACCTCTGTGGAGGCTGTCCATGAGGAGCAAGGGGTCCAGCCCCACAACAAACCCCTAGACCAGGGTTCCAGAGCTGGGAAGAGAAATTTCTGCAACCACAGGTTGTAAAAATAAGGGGATTGTGGCTAAGTGATGAGGAGGCTGTTGGAGAACCAGGTGTTCCATTTAAAGGGCCAGCACATGAACTTATGAAGACCCCCAGGGCTTTGGGAGACCCAGACACATACAGGGAGAAACTGGATTGTCTGGCATCCAGGCAGGAACTTGGGGATGGCTTCCTCCTAGATGGGGGTACTGGGAAGGGTCATTGTTCCTGCTGGGACCTCCCCTGTCATAGGAGAGACTGGCAGCCATCTCCGAGTCTCCATCAGCCTGGATCACACTATTTGCTCCACCCTGGGGATTCCATGAGATTCTGCACCATCCAATTTGCAGCCCTACCCTAGCTGTTCGCAGCAGCTTTTCCATATGAATGGCCTGTCCTGGCTCAGGCTTCAGATTTTGCTAAAATCTCTCAAACAAGATGCAACTGGAGATAGGATGCCCCAAACCTACCAATAAAAGGCCAAGACCCAGCACTAGCACCAGCCTACCTTGCTTCCCAGCTGGGCCTCACCTGGGCACCCCCAACCCCAATACAAATAGTAAGTAGCAGCCATCTGCATATCTCTCTGTAGCTCCTTGCTGGGTCACCCTAGAGCAAGTGCACCAAGTGAAATTTCAGACTATACAAGATTACAGTTCTACACATAAGTGACACACTCAAGGGGCAAACTCAGTGAACATCAAAGCCCCACTGAAGCAAATCCTGCTCCATAAGGGTGTCTTCTGCATAGCATTTCTCCCATTGTAGTCACAGCTGGTCCTCACAGCTAATTGGCCTGTTGGCCAACTCCTCACAGTGATGTCAATAGCAATCAAATCTCAACTACAAGACTGCACACAGCCCACTCAGGGGTGCCATTAGAGTGCCCAACTCAGGTGGCTGGGAGGCTGAGACCCTACAGGACACCTACTACACAAGGCCATGCTACCAATTCCAGGAGACATAGCAACTCTACCTAATACATAGAAACAAATACAAGGAATCAGCCAAAATGTGGAGACAAAGAAACATGTTACAAATGAAAGAAATGGAAGCAAGTAAACTATGGGATACAAAATTCAAAACCATGGTTAAAAGGTTACTCAGGGATCTTCATGAGACTTTCAAGAATCTTAGTGAGAATGTCAAAGACATGAAAAGGGACCAATCAGAAGTTGAGCATACACTAGCTGAAATAAAGAATAACTTACAGGAATTCAATAATGAAGTAGAGGACTAGAGAATCAAATTAATTATTTGGAATATGAGGAAGCAAAAAACACCCAATTAAAAGAGAAAAGAGAATAAAAAGATATGAAGATAGTGTAGGGAGCCTCTGGAACAACTTAAAGCATACCAACATTCATATTATGGGGAAGCCAGAAGGAGAAGAGAGAGAGCAAGATATTGAAATCTATTTGAAGAAATAATGACAGAAAACTTCCCTAACCTGGTGAAAGAAATTGACTTGTAAATCAGGAAGCACAGAGAATCCCAAATAAGAGGAACCCGAAGAGGTCCACACCAAAATACATTATAATTAAAATGCCAAGGATAAAAGACAGAGAATCTTAAGAGCAGCAAAAGAAAAGCAGTTAGTTACTTATAAGGAAGTGCCCAGACCACTGTTAGCTGATTTCTCAATAGAAACTTTGCAGGCCAGAAAGGAGTGACAAGAAATATTCAAACTGATGATAGCAGATTACTCTACCCAGCAAAGTTCTCATTTAGAATTGAAGGTCAGATAAAGAGCTTCACAAACAAGAAAAAACTAAGGAGTTCACCACCTCAAAACCAGTATTAAATGAAATGTTGAAGGGTTTCTTGAAGAAGAAGATGGAGGAGGAGGAGAGGAAGAGGAGGAGGAGGAAAAATAAAAAATGTGAACAATAGCAACAAATACATATCTATCAATAATTGAATCTAAAAATCAAATAAATAAGAAATCTAATGAACAAAATAAATGTTAATACAATGAAACCAGAGACAAGAAAGCATGGAACAGATTGACGAATCTCAGAGAGAAAGGGAGTGGTGGGGTGGGAAGAGATTAACCAAAGATCTTACCTATGAACACAGACAATAGGGTAGTGAAGGCCTGGATTAAAAAAAACTGGTACATGTGCACAATGGAGTACTGTGCAGCTGTAAGAAAAGAAGGATCTCTTACCCTTAGAGACAGCTTAGAGAGACCTGGAGAGCATCATGCTAAGCAAAATTAAGTCAAGAAGCAGAGAAAGACAAGTATCACGTGATCTCACTCATATGTGGTATCTAATAAACAAAATAAACTGAACAAAATAGATCCAGAGACATTGAAGCATGCAATGGACTGATGTATTTTAGAGAGACGAGATTAGCCAAAGAACTTACATGCATATATGCATAGCTCATAGACAACAATGGTGTGGGATATATCTGGGGAGGGGGTGGAAGCTGGGAGGAGAGAGTCAATGGAGGGAGGGGGATATCTATAATACTTTCAACAATAAAGACAAGTTTTAATAACAAATAAATAATAAAAATACGTATAACTTTACTACCACTAGATAGTGGATTGCAAGAATAGTGCATTGTACAGAAAACTGACAACTAACCTTCACTAGAAAAATGGTTAAATAATTATTTTTAAAAATGATGAGGAGGTTATCAGTAAAATTCAACATCTTTTCCTGATTTCAATGTTAGAGGAAGGAGCATGTAGGAAAATGCAATCCTGTTCAGAGAGGAGAGGAAGGGATGTGCTAAGTCTAGAACACTAATAACAGCAGCAGGCACTGTGACCGGACAGACCTGGCCCTAAGCAGGTCTGCCTCGAACCAGCCGGCAGGATGTGGGTTTTTGACTTTGTGCAGGAATCATTTCACAGCTCGGTTCCAGGTGACGACGAGGGTGTATTTATTAAAGCTGGGGATAGCGACAAATGGCATGGCTTAGGGTAGAGGAAGCAACAGCAGAGGCCG